AGCTATCAAATTTTACATGGAATATTTTAGGGAGTTCTTTAAAAATCAAAATGCCTAGCTCTGCAGTTCAATAAGTTTGCCATTCCAAGAGACATTACTGTCAGAACCTATTAGTTACAATGAAGGTAGTTATCCTGTAATGCTGCAAGCCAAACACATTAAGTCTTTAGTCACATTTGTGGCACATTCTTCAAAACTCCACATTTTCAAAGGACTTACTGGAGCCAACATTCCTAGTACTTGCCCAGTTAAACAGAAGCAATAAGAAGCATGAAACACTACATACTATATAAGAATTTTGGCTGAACACCACATATATCGACCTTACATTAAAAAAAAAAAATCATAATGGCATTAAATCATCCTAAACCTCTAACATTCATTCATAAGAATACTTTCATTTTTTCATCAAAAACCACATGTCATTTTGATTCATGTATAGTGATAAAAAATATAAATTTGACGGAATGTGTCTGAACCTGACCCAGGCACTTAAATATTTTCATAACTCCAGAAGCAAAAGAAAACCAGGCAGAAATCTCTCCTCTATGCAATACAGCCAGCTTTGAAAAAATGACCTAGATGTAAACAGTTAGTGGCAAAGTTAAAATAGAAATGTTAATCCTATGAGGGACCTTGCTTGCTGTTTTCAGTCCTTCCTAAAGATTAAAAAAAAAAAAAAAGAGTAAGGAACATAAAAACAGCCACAGCCCTAATACTGAGAACTACACAAACAAGCAAGTGAGATTACAAAACAAAACAAAACAAAACAAAAAACAAAAAAAAAACAAACAATAACAAAAACACACACACACAAAACTTCACAAATACTAAAGGATAAAATAAAACATCGATTTTAAAATACATTTTTTTCCAGCTGTGAACTTTTTTTTAGAGGGGACAGTAGGAGGAATGAGTGGAAAAATAAGTAAACAGATTCTAGTTTAAGTTTTAATAGAATGACAAGATTATTAGAAAATAGCTTAAGAAGTCAATTTCCTAAAATTGCAGGTAAAATTAAATGATAGAACAGGAGTCAGCAAACTTTTTCTGTAAAAGGTGAAATAATACATGCTTTAGGCTTCATGGGCTAAAGAACAAAAAGCAGCCAGAGACAAAACTCAGATGAATGGACGTGGCTATTCTAATAAATAGTTATTTACGAACACTGAGCTCTGAAAATCTTATAATTTTCACTGCTTATAAAATATTCTTCTTATTTTTTTCAATCATTTAAAAATACAAAACAAAATCCCTAGCTTATGGACAATATACAGTGGCTGGCCTTGGTCCAAGTTATATTTTGCAGACCTCTAGACTAGACACTGATGATACAAACTGTAAACAATAAGTGATGAGAGGACAAATCTCA